CTCTGAGGGATTATTAAGGAATGGGGAACCGTCTGTAATCCAGTCTGATCTAACTTCTATAGCTACATGGGCATCTAATAACCTGATGAAATTGAACGCAAAGAAATGCAAAGAGATGCAAATTTGTTTCTTTCGGAACAAACCTGAACTACCACACTTGTGTGTTGAAGACCAGATCTTAGAATGTGTATGGTCGCACAAGGTTCTTGGATTGATTATCCAGGATGACCTTAAGTGGAACGAACATATTTCGGTGATTGTTACCAAAGCATCCAAGCGACTGCATATCCTACGTGTCCTACGACGGGGAGGGATTCCACCGCACGACCTTATCACAATTTATTATGCATTGATTAGGTCTACATTAGAATATTGTTGTACAGTATGGCATTGTGGTCTACCTATGTATCTGTCTGAACAAGTCGAGAAAATTCAAAAACGTGCACTGAGGATTATACTGCCAGGTCGATCCTACGGTGAAGCGCAAGAAATGTTGCAGTGTCCTAGGCTGGATATACGTCGAGGTGAACTTTGCGAAAAGACGATGAAAAATATTGCATTGGGCAGTCGTCTTTCTTTCCATCTAACTCTCACCAGTGAGAACGAACATGTGTATAATTTAAGGAATTTTAAACAATTCGCTTCTTTTAAATGTAGAACTGATAGATTTGGTAATAGTTTTTTCCCTAGCATGATTAGTGTTTTAAACAAATAATTGTTCTTAGTTATAAGTTCTTATTTAATAATCTAATGATACATTGTAATATAGTTACTTTTAGTATTGTAATTCCCATTCAAATCAATTGTAAAACACATTGTAATTCATTTTCATGCGATGATGTGTTATTAAAATACCATTATTATTATTATTATTATTATTATTATATATTTTGACACGCTTAATTTTATCTAACGATGTTCATCCAAATCCAGGTTCTCAGTTTGGGTCACGAACAAATAATTTCACATTTGGTCATTTAAATGCTCGTAGTAAACAATGAAGATAAACTTGATGAAATTTCTGGGCTAATTGAAGATCACAACGTTGATATTTTCGCGGTCTCCGAGACATGGTTAAATTCCCAAATTCCACAAAGTGCAGTTGCCATACCAGGTTACCGTTCTCCACTAAGACGTGACAGATCATTAAATCAACGAGTCGGTGGTGTTGCATTATATTGTTCTGACTCAATTGTCGTAAATAGAAGGATGGATTTGGAATTGGATTGCATTGAAAATTTATGGGCTGGTTTTAAGTTAAAACATGAATATTTCTTATGTGCGATATGTTACAGACCACCAAATAACAGGAGTGAAGTGGTTGAACAATTCTTTAGAAATCTTTAAGTTTCTTTAGATCGCATTATTATGCTTAATCCACATTGTACCATAGTAATCTTAGGTGATCTTAATATTAATGTTAGTCAAAATGAAAATAGCGACTTGTATGCAAAATTGTATAATTTTATGGCAGGTAATGGTCTGGTGCAGCTGATCAACGAACCAACACGCGTAACTAATCATAGCTCTGCTACTTTGGATCTTATTATAACAAATTCGCCTGGGGATTTTGTGACTTCAGGTATTTTAAGCCCTCCTTCCAATTGCGATCATTCATTTATATTTGGTAAAATTGCTGTAACACAGCGTAAGGCAAAAAGTTTCCGTAGAGAGATTAGACGTTTTTCCAATGTTCATATTCGTAGTTTAAATGAGGCACTCAAAAATAATTGTATGGACGATCAACTTGCGGAAACTACTATAATCATTGATATAAATGAGATATACAACAAATGGTTTGATGGATTTTATAGCGTTTTAGATCAATACTTTCCTCAACAAGTAGTTACTATTAGACCTAATGATAAACCGTGGATGAATTCGAAGGTACGTCTAGCGATACGCAAGCGAGATCGCTTATTACGTAAGCATAACAGGACTAAAACTGTATTATCATGGCAAAATTACAAGCGCCAGCGTAACCGGACAACAGCAATAATTCGATGTGCTAAAGCTTCGTTTCATGAAAAATCTAATGATTGGCTTTGTGATCCTCACGGCGGTCCAAAACAATGGTGGAGTATATCTCGTAAATTGTGTGTCAAGATGATCTCAAATATCCCAGCACTTAAGGAAAATGGAATCGCTATTGAGAATCCAGTACACAAAGCCCAGATTTTTGGCGATCATTTTAGTCAAACACAACTATATGATAACACTACTGAATTACCACATTTAGTCAGCTTCCCAAGTGACAAACGTATTGGCTTAATTTTTGTGTCATATTCAGAAGTATTATCCATTTTCAAAAATATTAATGTGTCGAAAGCCAGTGGTCACGATGGTATTGGGAACAAAGTTATTAAGGTGTGTGCCGAAGGCTTATACGAAAGTTTTACTAATTTCATTAATTTAATGTTTTCATCAGGCCAATTTCCACAATCATGGAAACTGGCAAACGTAATTCCCTTATTTAAAAAAGGTAATCGTTAATTTAAGGTTAACTATCGTCCTATCTCGCTACTATCCTCTCTTTAAAAATTGCCGAAAGAGTAGTGTTTACTCCTTTATACAGTTTTTTGGCTAATATTGGCTTTTTTTTCTACAATCTGGTTTTCGACCAGGCCATTCCACTATTAATCAGTTAACGTATTTGGTTCATAAAATCCACCAGGCCTTGGATGATGGTAAAGAAGTAAGGGTGGTGTTTTTGGACGTTAGTAAGGCTTTCGATCGAGTTTGGCATACTGGTTTGCTTTTTAAATTACAAAAGTTAGGTGTTCAAGACCCTTTATTAAGTTGGATAAAAAACTATTTATGTGACCGAAAACAAAGAGTGGTTATGGAAGGACAAAGTTGGGAATGGAAATCAATTAATTCCGGTGTCCCGCAGGGATCGGTGTTAGGACCGTTATTGTTTCTAGTTTATATTAATGATATTACAGAGGGTCGTGAATCAATCCCGTTGTTATTTGCAGACGACACTGCATTGTTAGAGATCGTTGATTCTCCAGACAAATCGGCATTTACTTTGAACAATGATCTAGAAAAAATTTCAAATTGGTCACAAAAATGTCACTATGAACCCTTCAAAATGCGAAGCTATTGTCTTTTCAGCTAAAAAGAATAAACCTTTCCATCCTGAACTGTATTTGGATGATGGTACTATTTCCGAAGTGTTGTCACACACATTTAGGCTTAACACTACAAAATAATTTATCTTGGAAAAAACATATATTGGAAGTTTATACAAAGGCATCTACATGCTTAAATATCTTAAAGTCCTTAAAATTTCGACTGGAAAGACAAACTCTGGATACACTCTATAAAAGTCTCTTAAGGCCATTGTTAGAATACGCAGATTTTATTTGGGCAGACTGTGCGGACCACGAATTAAGTACAATTATTAGAAAGTATACAATATGAAGCCTCCCGCGTTGTGTGCGGAGCAATCAAGGGCACTACAATCCTGGCAAAAATTATTGTGGACACCGCGTGCGTCAAACAAAAATAGATGTATTTCTACAGAATTAATCCCCAGAAAATTTCTCCCCTCCTACCCCCAATTCAATGTTGGTAAATGAAACTTTTTAAATTTAAAAGCGAGAAACAACATTGAATAGGGGGCAGGGAGCGAAAAATTTCATGAAAGAACGTCTCAATGTTAATATTGGCTTTAGGTAAGTCTAGTTAGGTGTCCACATAATTTTTGCCAGGATTGTCTGAAAATAACCTATAATGATAATTTTCACCCAAAGCAGGCCTTTTACTATAAATTTTTGATGTTCCCATTGCTTTAGGATAACAAACAGATTGTTTAATTTGTTTATTTTTTTTTAAAGCATATTAATAATTTTGTGGGTGAGGAGCTTTTGGCCATGATATATGCTCTGCTGAACTAATTATTCAGACGCAGTAAGACGAGTTTTCAACAAAAGTACTTTAAGTGCAAATCCAAATTCACACCAAATATAACAGATTATAGGGTTATTTTAGTGTATACGCATCCGAAACGCTCACTATTTTCAGATTTTTTATAACAAACACAGCCCAACGGTGACTATAGAGCGCCTTTAATCTAACAGTGACGTCACACGGTACACGGCTGTGTAGCGTGGTGATAAAAATATTTAAGCTGTGTATTCTTTTCTATACGCTACACAAGTGTGTACCGTGTGACGTCACTGTCAGATTAAAGGCGCTCTACTGTCGCTGTTGGGCTCCGTTTGTTATAAAAAATCTGAAAATAGTGAGCGCTTCGGATCCGTATACACTAAAATAACCCTATAGTCTGTTATATTTAGTGTGAATTTGGTTACGCTACACAGCCGTGTGCCGTATCAATTTACTAAACTTTCAAAATAACATTACTTACACATTTATACAGTTTTACACAGTTATATTGTATGAATATGCGGGAATATGATGCTCCATGCTGCAAACCCATTGCAAAATGTTGCAGGCTAACAAAGGATCTGCATTTTGAAATGCACGTATTACCAAAAATGCGAATGATTCACGCTCAGGAACTAAAGATAGATCTGTTTTTGGATGAACATTTTGCACTCAGGTTTGACTAAGTACTAAGACATCGTCATTCTCTACAATGTTCAATAATTTGTTGTACGAAAAAATTGCTTTGTAGAGTTGCAGACTAAGTCGAAACTGTATAAATCCAGATAATACGTAAAAAGCCGCTTGACATGTAATGTGATAGGTGACACTTAACATAGATCGGAAAGTAAAAAAAAACAAACTAAATATAACCTGATTTACTAATTGTTTGACCCTTTTGCTAATCAAACAAGCCTATTTTTTCATTGGATGGAGCCTTAAATTCATGAAATCGGACGGTTTGAAATATGTGATAATTTCAGACAATCCTGGCAAAAATTATTGTGGACACCGCGTGCGTCAAACAAAAATAGATGTATTTCTACAGAATTAATCCCCCAAAAGTTTCTCCCACTCCTATACCCCCAATTCAATGTTGGTAAATGAAACTTTTAAAATTTAAATGCGAGAAACAACATTGAATAGGGGGCAAGGGGCGAGAAATTTCATGAAAGAACGTCTCACTGTTAAAATGGGCATTAGGAAAGTTAGGTGTCCACAAAATTTTTGCCAGGATTGTAGCTACGAGCGACTTAGTATAGAGAAGAACTGGGATGGCAAAAGCTCATGACTCGAAGGCTTTTTCACAAAATGTTGTTTATCTATAAAATTATTCATCATCAATTACCGTCATTTTTTATAGATCCTTCATATACATATCAACGGACGCAATTTACATTGAGATCAAGCAACAATTTCTCTATATTCTAGTCGTTCTCAAAGATTTTATAACTCTTTTCTGCCGTCATCTGTGCGTTTGTGGAATACTCTTGACAATGATGTAAGGAACGCTGCTTTCTCGTCCTACAAGAGTGCACTCAAACGTATATATTTTGAAAATTTGACGCCATGCCCATTATACAAGTATTCGTTAACAAGATACGCTTCAATTTTGCATACTCGTCTTAGACTTGGATTTTCCAGCTTAAATAGTTATTTATTTCGGATCAAATGTAAGCGATCGTGTGTGTATCGTGAGGAATCTGTGCTTCACTATTTTATTTTATTTCCACGATATGCTGCTCAGAGAACTGTGTTATTTACTTGTGCTGGGCAACTGTTGGGGAGCGTTTGGTCAAACAGTAGTGAGTATGGAAAGCTTAAACTTTGTTTACACGCTTCTGGAGAAGTAAGATTGCAGATAAATCGAAGATTTTTCGCCGCTGTTCCGAGAAGTATATAATCGATACGAATCGTTTCTCCATACCAAACGTTTGACCAAATGCTTTATTTTATTCTTATTCTTATTTCTGTGTGTGTCCGCAAGTGAGAGTCCTAGATAAGCAAAATGCTTTTGACTGAAACTTGCAATTTTGTTTTAAATATTTTTTTTCCTTTTTTGTTATTAAATTTATTTATATCAACGGAGATTACAGAAATTGGTCTATAATTTCCGCAGTCATTTCTATTACCGTCCTTGAAGACTGGTGTTACTTTTGCTAACTTCCAGTCGTCAGGGAATATAGCGGTCCGTAACGACAGGTTGAAAATATCAACCAATGGCCCGGCACTCGTTCCATCCACTCCTGAGGATTCTTTTGACTGAATGAGATTTAGCGCATCAATAGGCAACTTGCATGTTACCAAAGCATCATGGGAAAAATGGTAACCTTCACTTGCGCGCGAAATGGCCGCCGTGGAGCGAGCATTTTGCATGTGAGAAATATAGTTTATTTTTAACACTTTTTTCGTAACTTTTGAAAATTTTAAAACAAGGGAGAACTTTGTAATGCTATAAAGTTTGTTTTGACTCAAGTACAGCGAAATCGAACCGAAAATGGACGAGAAAATTCCTGTAGACGAACTGATGAGCGAACAGTGTGCTCATAAATACGTTCCAGGAGGAAGGGCCTTCCCAACGTTTTAAGGTGAGCGAGCTTAGTAAACATCGGACAGCTCACCATTTTAACCTACAAATTTGTGTGTGTTGTTTCTTGATGTATATCTCGTATTTTGACAACGATCGAGTGTTTCCTGCCGATTTTTTCGCTTGTTGAAATCGACGAATTCATGACAAAATGTCTGTCGATCGTTCGATCAGCATGGCGCTCAAACACAATGTTTTAAAGAGACCTTAAAATGTTTTGGCGCGAAATAAAAGCAGTTTAAACCGGTTTTATCTGCCCCGGCTCCGTTACTTTGTAAAAACGCCAAAGAGAAATCATTTTGCCTCTGTTGTCGCTTATTTTTCTGCTTCCTTTGTTGTGGTCGGTTTAT